GAGTAACAAACATGGGGCAACTGAGTAACAAACACGGGGCAAGTGAGTAACAAACACGGGGCAAGTGAGTAACAAACACAAGGCGACTGAGTAATGCGTGGCCACTGAGTAACACAGGGCCCAGCTCGGGCCTGCCTCAGCACCTCCTGCTCTGGGAGCTTAGCATGTAACGACACGTTAAAGTGCAGTTCAACCTGCATTTCACAAAATTATCTTTAAAAGGTTTAAAGGGACGTTTTCCTCCAGAAATCTAAGTGAAAACTAAATGCACATCCCCAGCATGAGTGTAAATTGTATTAATTGTGTTGTGTATATAAAGTCTGTGCAAAATGCCATACCACAGATAAAATGTAGATTGAGGTTATTTTATGCTTGTTATGAACTGTCACTGATTCAGAACAGACAATCTTTAATATGCTAAAACCAAGAATTTTTGATAATACCACTTCCTAGACCAGAGTTTGGAAATGTAATCTCTGCTCCTGTAGAATGCAACAATTTAAATAAGAATTTCTTAAAAGGTAAGCAATCTGTTAGTGTTGTTTTTGAGCAGGGTGTTGTCACCAGAAGAGGAGAAGAGCACCGATTTACAAGTGTTAGAATGACTAAATTGCTATATTGGGAAGACAGGAGTGTTGGGTAAATCCAGAAATCTGATTGTCTGACATGCTTGTAGCTGTGAATTAGAAAAGGAAAGTAGTTTGTGTTTTAGAATTGATTTTTATTTTAGATTTGAAGAATGGGTTTGACACTTGTTACATCTGGCAGGTAAATGTTGAAACAGTGGAGACTCAATACTGATAATATGGGTACACAATGTTAATCTCATGCTTTTCATCTGTAAACATTATCTGTAGGCATAATGTTCTTTTCTAAAGATACCTCAGGATGATTCACTGAGCATATTGAGGAAACAATTGTGTGATACAGATATTTGTTCCCTTTTTGGAAGGCTGAAATTCCCTTTTGTTCTGTAAGTCATAGCAGTTAACACAATTGAAAGCTGTTCTGATGAGACTGTTTACTTTGTCTTATTTTATTGTCCTTAGGATAATGTAGTGTAGAGACTAAAATAATTATGCATGTCAGATTTTTTTTTCATCTGACAGATATTGTGCTTTTTGATATTTCTGATTGTTTATTAGACGTTTACAGATGCTTTATTAAAGTCAAATTGTGTTTCAGGCCTTACACCAGAGAAAGGTGCTGTGAAAGTTTTAATCAAAATGCTGTTGAATGCAGCCTTAATCCTTGAAGCTCTCTGCAAGTGCTTTACACATGGGTTAGACAGTGAGATTTCTTCAGCTCTGGTTAGCCTGGAACGTAAATCTTCAGTACATTCTTGTAGCAGATTTCTCTTGCAATGTCTGTTCTAGGGTGGGTCAGGGTTTGCTGTTAAGTGGCTGAAAGTATTGTACAGGAAAGCATTCACCTTTAATGGTTGGACTCAATGATCTTGAAGGGCTTTTCCAACATAAATGACTTTCTGATGCTGTCCAGAGCACGTGACAGGATGCAGATGTGGTGAACAGCATCCCAAAAGATTTCCGTGGGTTTGTCCCAAGAACACTTTCCCATGAATCTCTGGTGTGAAACTACAAGATTTTAACTCAAATGGTCTTACATTTTTAGACTCTTGAAACAAAATTGTGATGATCTTTTCTACTTCAGACATAATCATGGTTTTAGGGGTGTATAATGTACAATAGGTGGAAAAGAATAATACATAACCCACCCCACTGACTTGAGAAAGTCAGAAAGCAGCTATTGAAATATGACAGTAAGGGTAAGTGCCATATAATTTGCTGCAGAACACAGTGAATGCACAAGGTGGCAAAGACAAGGAAGCAGAAGAGAGAAAATACAAAAGATTTAAAGGCATGTGGTTACATAACAGGAGGGAATGACAAGGTTTTAGTTTCTTTTAGAGCTCTTCTTATATGAATGGAAACACTCTCACTGAGAACAGTTTATGGCTATTACTGAGACTGTGTTAAATAAGTTTTTCAATGAGAGGATTACCAGATGTCAGTTACTTTATTTCACAGCTCTAACTCGCTGAAGAAAAGATGATAGATCCAGGAAACAGTGCTGATTTATCGGTGTCTTTTTGGCTCTTCTATTAGTAGTTTCAACAAGCCAGGCCTGGGAATTGAGTGAGCTGTAAAGATGATGACAGCCATTTGTTATCATAGCACAATTTAAGCACAATTCACTTTTCCTCTCCTTGGGATCACTGCTGTGCTCTACAGGCAAGTGCATTCTCTGTTCTTTTGAAGCTGGGCCTTGGTGCTTGAACTCGAATAAGGGACTTGCCTTTACAAACTGTGGGTCTGCTGGTAGGTAAAACTAGCAGTGAGAGAGAAAAGAAACAATGGGAAGGATTCCACTGATTGATTAATGGAATGGGAGAGACTTGTCCTTACAAACTGTAGGTCTGCTGATAAATAAAACTGGGTACTGAGAGATGAAAGAAACAATGGGAAGAACCATAAATTCCATAGGAATTCCACGGATTGACACAAAGAAAACAAAAGGGGAAGGGTTGTATATCAGATGGGGGTCTCAGGTATGAGACATTTCAGGAGGTCTGTACCTCTGAAGTACCTCAGGCAATGGGGAAGAGAGATGGACATGGGGCCAGGAAATGAGGATAAAAAGGAGGCTGCGTCCTCCAAAATTTTGAGAGACACCAGGGGAAATGCCCCATGGCCTCTCCCTGTATTTAAATAAAGTTAAAGGACTCCTCTGTCTCTTTTTTAGACATAAACCTCTGCTGTTTGTGGATTAATTTTCCTAACAAACTGTACAGGAACTTAGGATTTATTAGCACTAACATTTGAAAGAGTATAAAGAGTGTTGCTTTTGTGGTTCCTAAATTTGTTTCTTTTATTTTCCTCAATTATTTAAAGTGTCTAATAAGCCTCAAAGGCATCAAAGATTAAGAGCTTCTTGGTGTCAGTGAGATAAATTTTTAATTTTTTTTTAAAGAGTTTTTAATGACAGCTTGGAGAAACATCTTTTTGGAAGATACTTGCCTTAACATGAGTGTTTTTCACAGAGGTTTTATCACAGTGAATAGTACAATGCAAAGTGAAGAAAAATGCTCTCCACAAGAACCTAAACATTTTTCTGTTCACAGAGTAATTCAGACACACAGGAAATTGCAAACACATTTACAATTCTTCTGAAAGGCAGCAGGTTTTTTTCTGAATTGTTCCAAAAATTCTTCAAAATTACTTGTTGTACTGTTGTTAACCTTTCTGAATTTATACTCATAGACACAGGTTGTCAGGAGATACATTTGTGTTTTAGGACATCCAGCAACAGGAATTGCTACTGTGGGTTTGGATACCTTATAAGTGACAGAATCATACTGTCCTGTGGACAATAATGGAATAATGTATCCACTGGAGCAATCACATTGTTCTGCTAATAAGCACTTGCTCTTTCCTAGTGACGAGCTGTTGTCTCTTCATCCTTTGCAATGAAGAGCTGCTGAGCTCAGTGGAGTGCAGCAATGCGAGCCCCACGTTCTGTGAGTTGTGCTTTTACTCAGTCTGAGTGAGGACATCCCTTCCCTGGGGGCACAGGGATGGTGGAGCTGTGCTGAGCCTGGGTGGAAGGGGCTGCTGGAGCAGCACTGAGGGCCTGCAGGGGCTGCTGTCTGCCATCATTAATGAGGGAGGTGTGCCTGAACAATTACCTGCATCCTCCTCTGGCTTTCAGTAAAGATCACTCCTGCATTGCTAGGGCAGCTCAGACACACTGCTGTGAGAGCTGCTTTCTGGAACTCAAAATCCCCTTGCTGTTTGAATGTTCCATCCTATTTGAGCTTCATTAATTTTAGTGGATGGTCTCTCACCTTATTATGGTTATAGGTTGGAGATACATATGTGTGTATATATGTGGGTCAGTGTATTTTTCTGATTTTTCAGTTCTGATTTCACTTCCTTCTTGTGTTTTTTAAAATCGTTCATTTCTTAACTGGGTTTTTATGTCATGATTACTGAGACGTTTGGGTCAGACACGGTTAATTTAGTCTGGATTGTGCCACAGGTGGTGGCAGCTGCTGTGTCC